CTTAACATAAAAATAAACATAAAGAGAAAAGAAAAAAAATAATATTTTGTTAGTCATTTTAATATTTTTTTAATATTTTTTTTAATGAACTTAAAAGGTAACTAATAAAATCTAACTAGTTATTTTTTATCACTATAATTTTTTTAAAAATATTAAAAAATATTAAAAAATAAATTTGACAATGATGATATTGGAGATAAAATTTTCAAAACACATTCTTTGTTGCGTGGTAAAAACTCCTTTAGCGAAAAAAGCCGTTGATGCTGGTGATTTGTTAGTTTTGTGGAATATTTTTTTTTCATGAATATTTTTTTAATATAAAATAAAAGATTTTATATTATTTAAAATGTGTTTACTGTAGTGAAAAAATGCATAAATCTCATGATAGGTAGGATTGATCTTAAAAAAAGAAAATAGTCAATAAAAACTAAAAAGATAATTTTAAAATGAAAAGTGGATTTGTTTCATCAACAGTAGAAAAATTATATCACCTAAATCAAATTATTTCTCACTAATGTTAAAATAGCGACATGAGAAGATATACCTAAAAGTCGATATTTGAGGTCCAGACCATCATCAAATGCATTTATTAAAAAAAATATTTTTCATTTTTTCTTTTATTCTATCTCATGATTGTAATAATATTGATAACAAACCTATTTATCACTCACCCGATAACACATCAAGGATTTTGTCTGGTGATGAGGATTTACAGAATTTTGAACAACAACTAAAACAAATTCCTGTTAGAGAATAATATAAATTATACATTAAAACTTTAATGGATAGTTTAAGTTTTTTGGTTAAGATGACTCTTTAACAAAGAATGAAAAACCAAAGAACTAATGTGTGAAACACGCAAACCTAAATCATCACCGATAACAACTTCATCAGTGTTATCATATTTCGAGCATTCACAAGAATTTAATTTTTGTCCATCACTTTACTACCCAAAATAATGTTTTTATTGAATTCCACTCCTTTTACTTTCTTGTCAATGATCAAATCACGGGGGTGATATTTCTCAAAGGTGTATGCAAGAACAATGTGTACCCGCTTTTAGACTAATTGGTAGGCTTTTCCTCCAAAATAGTTACAAATATGCATGAGAGGATGACGATTGATGAGTGGTACAAGCAACTTGGATATCCCTTTTATGAAATTGTAACCTTTCTTGTTCGTGCCTTTTCCTTTCTAATAAAAAAAAACACTCAAGCATCAACAACCTTTTCATTCCACAAGTCTTTAAATTCATGCACCTCTTGACCTTATTTACACAGATGCTGATTAGGTCGACAACTATGATAATCGCAGTTCAACATCTGTCTATATTTGCTTCCTTGGTTCTAATCCAATATTCTGGAGCTAAAAAAAAACAGCGAGTTGTTATAAGATCATCCACCAAAGCAAAATATAAAGCCCTTGCAAATGCAGCCTCTGAAACCATTTGGTTATTGTCCCTATTTTAGGAACTCGGTCTATCTCTCACTTCGCCACCAACATTGTTTTATGACAACTTGGGTGCTGCTCAACTCAATCTCAATCATATTCAACATTCTTGAATGAAGCACATTCAAAGCGACCTGCACTTTGTCCGTGATATGGCTTAGAAAGGAATGTTGAAGGTTAATCATGTTCACATCCACGGTCAGCTTGCTGACCTCTTCACCAAGCCCTTGTACACCTAACCAACTGAACAACTTAGAACTAAGATTGGCCTTTCTAATGACAGCCCTATCTTGTGAGGGCGTATTAAGGATCATTCCACAAATCCTGCCTCAGATCATTCCATTGAAGACTAGCCCAGAATCAAGGCTCATAATGATTACAATCTTCACAGCCACAATTATAGCTAGCTTTTCTAAAATAGTTTTTCTAATTCTATGCATATATACAACTCTTAATTATTTGTAATTTGTGTGGAAAAATAATATACTCATTCTATTAATACATTATTTGTATTTAAATTTTATCATGGTATTAGAGTTTTAATGATCAAGTAGTCACGAGTTTGAATCTCATTATTCTCATTTATTTGATAAAATTTAAGCATTAAGTAATGTGAGCCTGTGTAAATTTCAAGCTCAAAAAATTTTCGTTTAAAGGAATGTGTTAGAAAATAATATAAATTATATTTTAAATCTTATCTAGTAATATAAACTTTTAACTTAAAATAGCTTTTTGATAATTTCACTGTTGATCATTGAGGCATGGCCGAGAGAGCAATAAATTTCACAGCATTTCATGGTTACATGGAATTTACAGTAGAAACTCGAAGCCATGTTTGATTTTTCAAGGCGAAATCGTTCTAGGGATGATAATGTCCCCAATGTTGTTGTGCCATGGGTCAGCCAAGTGAGTTGCCAAGTTCTCCAATGGTCCAGTGCCAGGGTAAGCCGACTGCTGCACACAGAACCCAACAAATGCCAACAGAGCTAGACGACCTACAACATGATCAGATGCGTATTGGATTAGTAATAATTCAAGAACTCGCGTAAGTTAGCAACAAGAATTAGATCCATACACCAAAATTGTTAGATTACCATTTTTAATTTCTTTGACTTTGTATTCCTCGAACTTCTTAGGGTCCTTGTAGTAGCCCAGAGGATCAAAAGCACCACCAGGGTATTTCTTCTTCTCTGGGTCTTTCTCCATGCTACGTTGGTGCTCTACAAAGGCGATGGCAACGAATTCAATGGCCAAGACGGTAGGGAGGGTCCCCCATGGAACTGGTTGGCCCAAGTAAGTAGCTTGGCCACCTGGGGTTGCAGCCCACTCTTGAGCTTTCACCCAGTTGCCCAGACCTAAGGCCTCTGGTATTAGGATTCCAGGCTGCAAAATGAATTAAAATCAAATTAGTAAAAGTAAAATTATACCTTCCATTAAAAAAAAAAAAACCTAAAACATGTGGGTTATTACTGAAACAGGGTGCAGCAACTTATCATCTGAACTGGACTCTTTCTGTTTCTTTTTTCCCTTTGCTAAAGGGGTTTTTGTGCCGACTTTTAAGAAACCAAGTTCATCTCTACAATGTTACCTAACACAGGTGAAATCAAGGATCCATTTTGTGACGTAGTTTCTTATTCTTTTGCATTAGGAGATTCAATTCTAGACTTTATCGTACCATATTATGCAACATTAGCAGCTAAAACTTTCCAGCACCCAGGATATGCTAACATGGCATATGAAAAATAAGAAACAACTGAGATTAATAAAAGACTCACAACAGCAAGCATAGCCCATCTGCAGTGAATGAGCTCAGACTCCTTGTATCTCTCGAGATTCTCAGGGACCTCACCCAGTCTAAGTGGGTCGAACCCAAAGTCACTGCAACACACCATCCCAACTAACTCATCAACAAAATTTCACAAAAACAGCTGTGCTGTGTAACATAATGTACATGAAAGAAGATGAAGAAGAAAACCAAAGTTTGAAATTTAATTTACAGTCAATTAAATTATAAGTGGTATTATTTACCCTGGGGCTGAGCCATCAAGGTAAGGAGGACGAGGCTGGCCAGGCATCCATTCAGCTGACATGGTGACACGGGAGGTGCCATTGACGCTAGGAAGTGGAATTGAAGAGGCAAATTTGGACTTTGAAGATGAAAGGAGTGAAGGGAAAGCAGAGGCAATGCCACAGCTCATCAATGTATTGGTGGCGGCCATATATTCTCTTAGAATCTGTGGCGAAGTGAAGTTGAGTTTGTGAGAATGGACGATGAAGAAAGCGAGGACATTACAAGTTAGTAGGCAAAGGGGGGATATAGGCAAAATCTATGTGGACTGTAATTGGCTAAGGAGACCTGCTTGGGACTTGCTATTGGGCCACGTTGGATATGTTAATCTGGTTGCAGGGGTTCGTGTGACATCCAGTGGTTATGTGGTTGAGATTGTGAATGCCAGCTACAAGAATCGAAGGTGCGTTTTAGGGAGTAAAAATGGAGGAGAAAAAGTTAATCGTCTATATGCCTCACATCACGGGTTGGCAAAGGTCCGTTAAACATGAAACACTCGTCATAGTAGCCGGTATGTGCTTGTGGATATGAAATTATGCTAGCTTTTGATTTTTGTTCCAGAAAACAATAAACAAAGATATTTTGGACTGGAAATTTCTAGCATAAATATCCTGGACCCTAGGTTCACATTCCTATAGAACATCAAACCATTCAAAAACTTTTGGATGGGAAATGGGATGAACAACTTAACATGAAATCTTCTAATACATGCCAGAGTATTTTTGTGTTGCAAGTTGAATCTTTTGCTGGCAATTCATATTATCCAGTCTCAAGCCATCTATTGTTGTTATTGATTTTGCATGTTCCTGCTCACATCAGGTAACGGTCATTTATACAATTGGGGAAGGGGTTTTGCTGGCGCTTCTGATGCTAACTTTCCTCAGCTTTCACTTTCATCTTTGGGGTGCACGAAAGCTGCCCTTGGATGGAATCACTGCTTACTGTTGTCAGGTCAATGCATTTCTTTTCCTCTCTTTAATCGTAGTCTTGAACAACCCCTCATCTCTGTGTTAAGACTTAAATGATGATGTGCTATCTTGAACAGGTGATGAAGAAGTATTTATGCTTGGTGGCAATGACCATGGGGTTCTTTGTGATCTTGAGGAAATGAGTGCAGTGAAGCACTTTTCGGGCAGTGCATTTATTCGACCTGCATTAGCGTTGTTGTACATGAATACAAATATATATGGTAAGTAATGAATAATTGTTCTGTATCACTTTCAAAACTGGAAGAAGAGACTTTTGCAGTTCCTTGTTTTTAATGATGGCTAAGGAGATTCAGTTTCATAGCGTAGATGGCTAATTCACAGTAGTCTTATAACTCTGAACAACTTCGACTGTCTAACCACTTAAGCCATGCACATCAAATAATCATCGTCTCGTGTATTAGTTCTAGCATTAAGTTGTTAGTTGTCATGTCACCACCTCTCTTTTTTATATTCCAGCAGATTCATCTGGAGCTCTTTTGAATAAAGAATTGGTCTTGATGGGCTAAAAGTTGTGAAGATCGCAGCTGGAGCTGAGCACTCTGCTATAGTGACAGGCAAAATTATTTACCATGCATTGATGCCCATCTAATTCTTCTTCATTGAGTCATTGTGTCATCTCATTTTGTTGATGTCATTGAAAATTTGCCAGTCTTGGGCCCTTCTATTGAAAATAAAGAAGCCTTCCCAAACGTTTACTGTGGTAGCGGGTTTACATTTGCAATAAGGTCACTCTCCTCAATCAATCCTGGCAGTATTTCAAGAAATTGAAAATGTTCCTGGGTAGATTTTGTTGCTCAAGATGCTCGAGAGAACAATTTACAAAAGTATGAATCCAGAAAAGTCCAGCACTTGTTTCCCACGCAGAGCTGATTTTTTTTTTTTTTCCACATCAGCTGAGGAAGGTCTGGTTTGTATCTTCAATGACCCATCTGCCGAGACTCTATCTGAATGAGTGTTTCTGGGATAACAATTTAGGATCGTAAAAGCCATAGCTAGATGACACTTATGAAACCGTTCTAAGGTTATTGTTTGATCGTGGATAATTCAAGTGAAAAAACTGAAATGTTTTCATTCGATCGTCCATGTCATGTCCTTTTCTATACATTAAACAGTTCATGATATCCAGTGTCAGCAGCACCAGTGCTAATTAGAGTCGTTTATTGTTTATTTATTTAGATTTTAGTTTTGAAGTTGTATTTCAAGTAATAAGGTACAGCTTGCTGTAAGCTAATTTTGTTTGTGTGTGTGTGTATATATATCTGCTTGCCAATTACCGTACCATGGCAACTGTAGTTGAATATCCTTTTTCTTCGCTAGAACTCCTTCTACATCAATCTCTTCTGTTTGATAACTTGTTTGAGTTGTGTTCGATTTTTAAATAATTTTTTATTAAAATATATATTCATATTTTTTTATTTTTTAAAATTATTTTTTATATCTACACATAAAAATAATTTAAAGACATTAAAAATATATTAATTTTAAATAAATAAACAAAATTTAAATTCTTTCAAAAATATAAAAATAAATAGATTTAATTATTATTAATATTATTTTTTAATTTTGTGGTTGTTAAATGCATTTTACTTTAGATTTTAAATGTTTTCATGTTCACAATTTTTCGTTGCCTCTGAGTTTAATATTGATGGACCTTTTCACTACAGTTTATTTGTCCGTGAATTCGAACCCGTATTTTAAATTATTCGTAGTTTTTCTTATTCATATTTTGTTTTTCAACAAAAATTATTTTAAAAAACACTCCAAATCCCAAACAAAAAAAAGTTAAACGGCAGGTCGTTTTAAGAACAAAGACAAGATTATTTTCTGATCTAAGAAACCCGGGCCAAGTCGAGTTGAAAGTTGAAACTCTCTTAATCTTTATCAATAAGCAAACTCACGGAGGCGATTACTAGATCACCCGTTGCATTTTTCAACCAAATCAAACTGTTCCAATCAAGACCCTAAATCTTTCCATTATGAGCTCTCCACCCATTCTCGGAGTAATCACTCTATCTCTTCTTGAATTCTCGCTGTTGCTTGCCGGATCTTGACCCGATTAACCTAATTGTTTTCAAATGACAGGGCGCGAGCTTGTTTACAGGATTCACGAAGCTATGCAAAGGTCTTGCGGTTGTTCTCGTCACCGGTCACATCTTAGTTCAGATTTTACCCCCTGCTGTTAACTATCTTGCTCTTATTCCTGCGAGGTATCTTCTAGCTTCTCAATTCGTGAATTCCTTGCTCGCTTCATTCATTGTTATCCTTATAAATTGAAAAATTGGTATCTCCGCAGTGTGTATTTTAGTAATGTGTTATTGATTAGAGACGGTAAAGGATCCGGAAATGGTAACGTGAGGCAGAATGTTAGGAGCTGAGAGCTAACTACTCAAGATATGCGGCGTGGACTCAGAGGAATTCAAAAAAAATTTACTAATTGAATCTTTCTATATACCCATGAACTTGTAGATATGTTTTGATAATTTCAATGTTGATTTGCTGCCATTTTTTTCTTCTTGTTATTGTCCTGGTGGAAGGAGCTTGAAAAAGCGGGGGTGCATTGTCAGGCGAGCTGCTGGATCTTTGCGTGAGAATTATTGTTCTGGTTAAATACAATAGTTTAGGATTTGGTTGGAATCGTGGTTTTGATGCTGTTTTTTTTTTAAATCACTTTTTAAAGATCATAAAAACAATGTGTTGGTCCCATGCTGCAAATCAAAGTAACATCTGGAGATAGATTATACGTTTCTACTCTTCCGGATACTAATCGTGGAATGTTAATCGCTTTGGACAACAGAGCCTTTAGATCACTTTGGACTACTCTGCCTTTACAATGGGCATGTCATACTTGTATTTTTCCTTGATCTCACGTTTTAGAACACAAGATATTGAAACCTGCTTCGACTTGCTTATTTTAGTGTAATTGCCTGAATTATTGGTAATCATATCCTTGCTCTTGGTATGGCCCTACCATGGTACAATGAACAGTTGATTGGATGCGATTTTCTCTTGAAATTAGTGGATATTAATGACATACGGTCAGAAAAAAATAATTGCCAATGCAGGGGATCAAAGACGAAGACAGCTATGAACTTACTATACTTGATTGCCCTCTTTGTTAGGTTGTGGAGATTGATATCATTCATGCACAATGCTTTACATGTATAAGCTTCATTTCAATGATAAGAAATTTACTCATGATTTTTTGGTTTGCAGGACGATTCCTTTTGTATGGAACCTCATAACAGCTGGTTACATCGAACAATCGATATATGGGGTATGCAGTTCACCTGTTGATAGTGTTAATGTTTGTTTTGGTTTGTATAAATGTCGTATGGCTTTTATTTTCCTTCATAAAGTTGCACAAATAATGAAATGGTTCTGTAGGTTGTTGCAAGCACTTTATGCCTCCTCATCATGGGAAAGCTTCTTGAGCCAGTATGGGGTTCTAAAGAGTTCTTGAAGTTCATTTTCATAGTCAACTTTCTCATTTCCATCTGCGTTTTCATTACTGCTATTAGCTTGTACTACATAACTAGGCAGGAAAATTACCTGTAAGTATGTGCTTCCAAAGCGTGATGTATTTGTTTTGCTTCTGCTACTTATACTATTGCCATTATACTGATTATCTTTGTTCTTTGTGGTAGTTATATGCCTATTTCTGGCTTCCAGGGGATCCTAGCAGGTTTCTTGGTTGGCATTAAGCAAATTATACCAGACCAAGAGCTGTCTCTATTGAGAATAAAGGCAAAGGTATGGACGTTTACAATAGGGTTGATTACTTCACCTCTTGCCTTGAAGTATCACTTGATGATTTGTTTTGCAAGTTGAGAAGATGCCCCGTTACATTCTCATTGGTGCTGTTTCAAATGTCATGCAGTGGTTTCCATCTCTTATGCTCTTGATAGCTATTGCTATAAGCTTCTTTACCGCAGAGTCTGCAGCATATCTTCCAACCTTAATATTTGGCACATATATGAGCTGGATTTACTTGAGATACTTTCAGAGGAAACCAGAAACAAAACTAAGGGGTGATCCAAGTGATGATTTTGCATTCTCATCCTTCTTCCCTGAATCCCTCAGGTATTTTCTCCTTTTCTTGCAAGACACTGGTTTTTTAGTCCATGGAATGTATGAGTTTGTTTACGTTCTTCCATCTCCCTCTCTCTATCTGCTTCCAGGCCAATCATTGATCCTATTGCATCAATATTCCATCGGATGCTTTGTGGAAGATTTGAAACTTCTACTGAAGCCCATGGTGATACCTTGGGAGATGCTTCATTGCCTGGTTCTGATCCCATTGAGGCAACTAGGAGGAGGTAAGTTTATCCATTCTATTTCAAACTTTGGATAAGGATACATGTTCTTTTCAACTACTAGGAAATTGTTAAATTATCCCAATTTAATCTAGCATCTTCAATATGAGCTTTTATGAATCGATAGACTTGTGTGTATAGTATTAATGTAACAGCAGTAACAAAAAATGCTCGGCAATTTTTTTAAGGAAAAAAATAAAAACCAAAGGAACAGTTAAAACAGTGATTCAAAATCACCAAGCACTTCCGATGACTTGTAATATTATGAATACAGTCATTGCAAACTAAGTTTTAATGGGTGGCAAAAAGTTCCAGTTTCTGACCAATGTTTCCCCTTGCAGAGAAAGGGGAGCTAGAGCATTGGAAGAAAGGTTGGCCACTGCTCCGAGTGCAGAAGAGTTGAAAAGGGATGCCTTGGAGAATGTTTGATCGGTTGCCTCAACTTTCAAACATTGACAGAGAATTCAAAGTTGTATCATTTATGACCAATTCAGAGTTGGTGCAGTGCTTGGAAAGAATTCTTTTTGGTCGGTTTCCATATTACAGATTTTTTATTGCATATTTCTGTCGATTCTCATCTCTATTGTAAAATCTTTCCTATGTCCTGTATTTTCTTGGACAATGACAGTTTTTGCCTAGACACATATAGAGCAGAGATTCTGAAGAACTACCCCTTGGATGGTTTTGCATGAACAGATGAAAAATTTAGATCTGCTACGAGGGAGGCTGCTAGCCAAGAGTTTGTGGCCATCAAGATTTTTTTGGGTGGATGGGCCTTTGTTACCTGCTGGGACCCATTTTTTGTGACAAGTTTTGGAAGTCTAATGCTGTACATTAAAGGATCACAATTGGTATATTGCCTACCATGTTTTGTATGCTTTGACAAAACCCTAAAAATGATGGAATTGGTTTGGAAGATCAAAATGTTAAGATGGCCAGTCATTTTCGGTTGCTTCTGATTTCCATGGGGTGTTTAGTTTGAAATAGTTGTTTTTAAAATGTATGTTTTTTGTTTGAAAATGTATTAAAATAATTTTTTTAAGAATTATTTTTAATATTAATATATTAAAACAATTTGAAAACAAAAAAATAATTTTTTTAAAAAAGTGGTTCATAACTACGTTCTCAAATACTGTCTTTTAACTGTCTGTGAGAGTGAGTTTGGAGTTGTGAGAGATGAATTGTGCTTCGCATTAAAAGTTTGGCCCTAGAGCTGGAGTCCTTGTCCGAGGCTCAAACCAAGAAGAACAAAGAAATTGCAAGATGAGAGGTTGTTTCGGAATGGTTGTTCTGTCCACGTCACCACAAAAGAAACTTGCAAAAATAAGAAAGGAATTGGTGAGTAGAAAAACGATGGTGTCGTGCAGAGAAGAGCACCCCAAAA